AAAGACCGCCGTGTCTTAAACATCACATTCACAATGAGACGCTGTGTTTGACGTGAGCCTGTTTTTTTTCTACAATATGAATTTACACCTACATTAATCAAAGCCTTAATACTCTCTCTTACGGGTTGCAATGGCGCGTGAAGTGTATTTATATAATTATTGGGGTACATATATTGTACATTTGTATATGAAAATTTACGAGATTGTAAATATGTATAATTCACAATTTGATAGAAGATTTTATTTTGAGAATAAAACAACATTGAATTTTTCCTCGTCTGTCCTGGTCATTCAAAACTTTGGTCTGGCATTTTATACTGAAAAGGATTTTTAAACTTGATGCTGTTGTGTTGTGTTGCATGCTTTAAAACACAAACTGAATAGCGTGAGCTGATGTGGAGTCTGGTGTGTCAGAGCGCACAACCTGGTAAAATCTTATCTTTAATAACTGCAAGGAAGTGACAGAAAGCCTGTGTTTATACCAACATAATATTGTAGCTTGTTCTTGGCCACATGCTGTGAGAGAACAGCCCTGGTGGTCTTTTCTATCTAATGCCCCCCGCGAGTTGGTCTTAATATAACTCTTGACTTCTGTTCTCTCTTAAACCTCTGACCCAGGCTAAATAGTTCAGGTTTACTTTATACCAAGTTTACACGCTTAGAACTTCACCTACTCGTTTTATATTTTGCTTTTGGATCAGGTGGATCAGTGCAGCAAAGCAGAAAAACGCCAACAGAGGCGAGAAAATGACTGAAACTGGGTTCTGCAACGATTTAAACATTTTAGAGAAAGACATTTGTTCTGTCAAATAAATTTTAAGTGGAGTTCCTGCTCCTACACGGTGGCTTATTTCCAATGGAGAGATGCCTGAGTCTTATAATGAAGACGCCAGTGAGAAGGGAGAGGCGTGGACCTGCAGCCTGACACCCCCCATAGACTTTAGACACTGTTATCACTAAATTGGAGGTCGGAGGAAATGTGAGAGGTTTACGCGTAATGGCTGCAGGCATGTAAAGGGGATTACTTTGCCTGCCTTCATACGTTTCAAAACTATGCACTAACTTCTAAGTATTCTACAAACTGAAGTAACATGTCAGATGAACATCACGAACCATGTCGTGCTCCAGAATAAATTCCTAACGGGCAAAGACAGAAGGATAAGGTGGTGTTATGCTGCCACCTTGTGGTCAAATAGTGTCATACCATCTCTAGTAAATCATAAAATGAGAATTCAATAACTAGATACACATCTACAAAGTTTGTTAAGTGCAGCGCTGAGTCTGATATATTCAATTCAAACCAGCCAAAGTTAGTGAAATGACACCTGCCCCTGATGCAAGTTTAGGTCCTGAACCTTTCAAATTCTTAATTTGATATTAAACATTCACTAAAGCTTTGGTAAAATTTCATTAGAAGATATCTTTTAGCACCCTGCCTCTGCTCATTCAGACACACAGAGCTACACATGAGATCTTCAAATCCAAGACCCTGGGTTTTTATGGCTGCACTGATTCATCAAACTGCATAAATATGTTCCTGAAATTACACCTGAAATATATGGTGTGTTTGAACAAAGGATCACTGCTGAGGGTTAGAACAATGTTGTAATGTTGTAGAACATGGATTTCTAATGGTAGAGCCACCTGTTGGATAACTCAAGACTGAAGAAGTTAAAGCCTTGTAAAGGGAACTACCTTTATCATCCTGCCCTCAGCATTCAGACAATAAAACAAGTTCACATTTCTGACTTGGACTCAAACTTACCTATTAAGACAAGTAATAGTGAAAAAAATAAATTAGTTGCTTCCCACAGAGGCCTAACTGTGATAACTTCAACATATGTCATTTTTGTCTACACCAGTAATTACATTCATCAAGTTAAGCGACAGCCGGTCCCATTTGCTCATTCCAATGAAAACAAATTGTTCTGCCACTGCTTGACACAAGACAAGTTAGCTTCCTTTTTCAGTGGTATGTGTGCTGTGGTAGGGGGTTGGGCGTGTTGCCTCAAGCCCAGAAGAAGAAAAGTCAACAAAGGAAACAGGTTGAGAGGTCGTACCTGATCCATCTCCTTCTAACATAAACCAGGCACTGACTTGCCGGTTCAGGAAGAGCCCATCACGGAGCGGTGGAATTGGTGAAATCCACTGAACCCAGCTCCGCCTCACTGGCTCCAATTAGGACGTTTCTGAATGCAGTCTTTGTCTAATAATCAGATCCGCTGTCTGACTCTGATTGTTTTGGCATAAATCATGTTAAGATGTCTAAATGGCCTACATGGGCCAGTAAAGGTCACACTGCAATGGGAGTCTATAATTTATAATGTATACAAAGCTGGGTGGGAAGCATTTTGCTTTCAGTCACAGCTATTGTCACATCATTGGCTAATTTACAATGCAAACATTTGTAGGCCTGACTGACAGGCCTTGTAACGGACAGATGACCCCACTGCCTTCTGTCTAAGAGCATGCTGGGATTAAAAACAACCTGACTCTTAATGCCATGGATAAAGAAAATGAATGAATCACTGATGTATTCAAATTCTAAGAAAACTAATAAAACTTTGCTATTTCCCCCCAAATGTAAAGTGAGGCCTGAGGGTGGGGCCCCTCCAGTATATTAATCAATCCCAGTGAATGATCAGGTTGTTTTCTATATTGAAAAGAATCCGTCCTCTGTACATCTCAAACCCAACTTGTCCGACTCTGGTTGAAACTTTTGGATTCAACTTTCAACGGTCTAATCTGAACTTGTGTCAGTCACCTTGTACATTGTTACAGGTAAAACCATAGCATATCATCATACTGCCTATAAGAATAAGAAGTAAGAGAACACTAAGTTAACATGCTTAACAGTTAGCAAGTTTAGCTTTCTCCTTCAAACTACAAGACCTTAATGTGACCTGTTGGTGGTGCCTAATGAGACGCTGGGAGAGCACTAGGTTTACTTTGTCTTAAAATTAAAAAAAAAGAACTAATAAATCTCACATGCTTGTGTGTAAAGTCATGCAGGGTGAGGGGTGTAGAGGTGAGAGGTCACAGGTCATGTTTGTCTTTTCAGGTGTTCTCTGCAGGGGCAGACAAAGCAGCACAAGAAATATCTTCTCTCAGTCCAAAGTCCTTCTTCTCTAAAGTCTGATAAAATAACCAAGAATTAGCAAAATTATCTCTGACTGAGGTCTCTTTTTTTTTAACCAGAAACTCTGTGGATGATGGATTTATGGAGTTTGAAAGAAGCAGGTGTTTGCTGTGCAGGGCAAGTTCAAAAAGCATTGCACTCTAGGAAGTGCAGGATTTTGTAGCTTCACTCATACTAGAGACTAAAAAATATATATCTCTGCATCCTCCGCTTTAATTCTGATTGTTCTATTTTAATGTGTCTCCAAAGTCCCCCGGCTTCATGAAACTGTCATCATAAACCGCTGAAGTACCCATTTGAATAGCAGCGGCAGAGCTTATGAGATTTAATCTGCTCTGTGAGGGATGTTGGAAAATGAATTTATTTGGTGTTTTAAAATGGCACACAAAACCTTTAGCTTTCTCTGAGGTGGTGAGGCTGATTTCAAATGAAGCAGCCTTTCAACTTCATATAATTTCTGGGGTGGAGGGTTCTGTGTTTATGAGAGTATATTGAAGAGCAGCAGATGTTCTGTTAGTCAAACTCCTTAATGAAATAATCTGTGGACAAGAAGTCAAAGCAAAGACCAGACCCAGATGCCGTTCAGCCTTCCTTCACTCTGCCACCTTTTCTACCCTCTATCATTAACTTCAAAGGAAGACAGAATGGATGTTGTTTTCTGAGCCACAGCCGTCGGGGACAACACCACCCATCTATCTCAGCTACAACCTCAGAGGTGAACAAGATGCTGGGTAATCAATAGCTTTGATGCCTCTGACATCTCCTCTGATGTGTTGTTGTGGTCAATGTTGAATTTTCCCTCCTTCTTCGAAATCTGCTCCGTCTAACACCCAGGAGATCGGAGAGTGTTATTGCACCTGAGGTAGATGCATTAACTTCAGGTCAGGAGGCGATCGATGGGGAGCGAAGGCGCCGACTCCTAATCTTCTGCTCTGTATTGATGTCTGAACACAGCTGTTCAACACAGAGTGCACATAGCAGGCATTTTGTCTCAGCATGAGATATATCTACCAGTTAAAGAAAGACATTATTTGAAGAAAAGTCAGACACATGACAGAAGTGTTTCAGTGATAGTCAGCCATTTAAGGTGGAGAATTCAAAATCAATTTTACAAAACAGCGGATGATGAATGTGAGTCAGTCTTTTCAGAATAACCCAATCCATCCATTATCTGTACCTCTTATCCTGTCGAGGGTCACAGGACGCTGGAGCCAATCCCATCTGACACGGGGCGAGAGGAGGGTCCACCCTGGACAGGTCCCCAGTCTATCACAGGGCTGACACAGGCAACCAATCACACTTAGGAGTCACCAGACAACCTAACGTGCATGTCTTTGGACAAGCAGGAGGAAGCTGCTTCACAATAGCAGCCATGTGGAGGTTTGGAATTGTAGGGCTTTTAATGTGAAGGAGCAGCAACAGGAAATGTTTTCTTAGCATTAGCAGTTAATGAGAAGTGAAAAGCTTCACTTGAATGTCAAGTGCCGTGAAACCAAATACTTTCCTGATTCTGTCAAACATGTATAACATTTGTTAAAATTGTTAGACACATTTATTGAACAGGCGCATTTTCATTTATTAAAAACAAATAAACAAGTCCATAGATAATTTACAAGGAACCTGTCTCAGTTTTTGAGCTATTTATACACTGTACAAAGTTCATTTGCAAAATAATTTAGTGCTTTAGTTTTGAGACAAACTTAAATTTAATGCACAATGGAAATACAAAATAATACAGTTACATACATCAGTAGGTTCAATACTATCACTTGGCTCAGCAGAGAGAACCAGTGCACTGAAGGGATTTAAATGTTTCCCGTTTTGGTTTGGTTAACATACCAAACAGAATATACGTATCTAAAACGTAAAGGCTAATAACAAAGACTTTGTACCAAATTAAACCGCACCCTAAGTGACAGTATTGATCCTGACCAGCACAATGTGTCTGATCGACAGGACACAACGGCTGTTTGTGATTGTGGTTATCCTACCTGTGACAGCCTGTTTACAGAGTTTAACCTCCACATTTGTAGTTTTCTTTGGTCCAGATGACTGAAAAGTGTCCTGTGAGGACTGGATAAATATCCAACCCTAAGACTGAGGACATATCTCTGTTTGAAGGTTTATCCCAACAAAGTTTAGTTCCTGGGGTTTGAAAGGACTTTAAGAACATAAAGCTGTAAAAAGCCCCTCATTCAGAGAGAACTGTTTGTAGGCATATATTTATTCAATCCAGGTTTTAATAACGAAGCCTTGGCCTAATTTTTTTTACTGTGACGCCACAATGAAACGGTCAGCCAGGAAATAAAAACTCAAGGCCAGCAGCCTGGAGATTTTCCAAAATGTACTGTAATGCAATGTATTGTTATCTGGTATTACAAGCAGTGTCATGTGGCCTCCTCATGCACTCTACCGACCAGCAGCCGCTGCAGACTGTGCTTGTCAGACCTGCATATCCGCTGCTGGCTGTGGTTATTCTGTTGGTTTATGGTTGAATGTTTTGTGTTACATAAAGCTGAAAGGTGCACATCAAACCTGCTTGGTGTGAAAAAGCACATGTACTCATAAATATTGATATTTAATTTAGCCCGTAATTTATTTCTATTTTTCCAGGTTGTAAGATGTTTGTCGCTGACCATCAAAGGTTTCACTGTAAAAAATACTTTCTACTGATAAAACTATACCTATGAATGCAAAACCCCAGAACTTTATCTCCAACAACCTATAGAAACATCCACTCCATACAGGAGATACAACTAGGAATGTGGAATTTGGGTGAATTGACCCTTTAAAATCACCCAACCCTGAACTGGTGGCCTTCTGTAAGGCCACATATCAACTAGATGTCAGCAGAAGTGCACATACTCGACTCAAAGCTTCTGTGGGGCAGGAAAATTCAGCTTAGCTTCAGGAAAACTCATTTATTGATTCTGATAAAACCATGTTAAGAAAAAAACCTAAATCTGATGCAACAGTGAATCAGATCTTCAGGAAAACACTTCTCATGTTATACAGTGTGATTGATTGTGCATGTCCCCAAAATAGGACTATACTAAACGCATATAATAATGGTGGGAATGTTGTCACAATTTGGTTTTTAATTCCGCTCCCTTACACCTGTAATGTGTGTTTCTTCCTTCAGTATGACTCATATGAGGCGCATCATAATTAATCAGGAGATTAAACAGACTACCTGAATATCGAGAGGTATACTAGAAATACTGTAACCCTTGAATGTAAAGATTTCCAGAAGAGAAAACTTGCTAACAATTTTATTATTCTAAGGCCTGTCAGAGAAAATAAATAACCAGTAGAAATTCCAGTGTGAAATTCTGTTTTTTAAATTCTGCAGTTAAGGATCAGGCTGCTACAACCGATTAAAAAGTTCAAATGATACAGTGCAGTAATAATCATCATCATCATATGCTTCACTGTGACGTCCGTGGCCATCTGAAAGGCAGGTTGTGTCAGATCACCAGAGCAGACACCCTGAAACCAGATCAGTCAGGACAAAACCAGAAACACTAAACATAAAGTGTTTCCTTGAAGACAGGTTCACACTGCCACCTGAAGTTTCAAGGCTGTCTCCTCCTCCACAGATGAAATAACAAACAGAAACTTCTTCTTTCGTGAACATAAGAATCGAGGCACTGTGGAGGCATCAGCTTACATCGGAAACCTCTCGGGAGTTCACCTCGCTGTGCCGCTGGGCATCCAAACTGCAGCTCTTCAATTCAGCACAAAGTGGTGTGTTTGCACTGGGCTGTGTTTGTAGAGGTTTTTTTATTCAGCTGGGTCATGTCCGTAGCCTGATGCCAGTGGTCAGTGTACAGCAGTTTATTACTGGTTAGGGGAGAATCGCAGGAACCCATCTGATTCCACAGAGATTGTCCACGCTGGCTGAGCGACGCCTCGCAGCTCTCCTTATGTCTTTGTACTTGTCATCACATAGCCTGGAAATAGCCTGGAGAGGGGACATATTTTAATATTTTTCCCTGACAAACTGCACTCACATTAAAAAATGGACAGCTGAATGGAAGTGTCTGACCTCTAGTTTTTGGGCTTTGTCCCTGCTGAGCGGCTCCAGGGGGAAGCTGAGGTTGTTGGACTCTGAGAGTGACCGCAGGTCAAAGTAATACTTGGCATAGACACTGGACGGGACGTTGATGTTGAACTGTAGCAGCTCCAGGAACTGGCGCTCCAACTCATTCCTGTACAGAAGATTCATAAAATGTCTGCATTACCACAGTGTCCTAATTGTCCCAGTCCCCATCCTGGTTATGTCTCTGCCCTGTGTTTTCCTGTCTGGCCTCGGCTACTTTTCTGAACCGTCGTTTCCTCTTGCAGCCTCTAGATGTCCCTGGACTCCTTCCTTTGCCCTCTGCTCTCAGTCACCTGACTCTCACACACACCACACCTGTTTACAGTTTTCTAATCTACTCCTAGTTCCCAGTCAGCTTTCCAGCCAGCTCCCTCCTTGAGCTAGCACCGGATCTCCTAAAAATACATTTAAAAGGGTCAAAACTTTAGTAAAAATATCTAATATTCCAGCAGCTTCACCACCCCCCACCCGCCTGCAACTCACATATCGTCCACTGTGATGTCCTTGAGGATCTGGCAGTAGTCGACGTTCCAAACAGCCTGGTCATCCCAGACCTTGGAGGCCAACAGAATAGCACCCAGAACAATCCTCTTCCAGTTCCCCGGACAGATGACAATCTCTGCATAGGTCAGGAGCCTCTCTAGGTAGACCTGCACAGAAACAAGATAAAGAAGGTAGGGTAGGACACAATGATTCAAATAGACAAAACCCCCCAAAACAATAGCTACAAGTCTGAAAGTCATTGTGACATAACTTCTCAAACAGATGGATGATCTAATCTGTCTAATTAATGTATTTTTATACTCCACTCCATGATGCCAAGATGTTTATATTCACTGTCTCCGGGCTGACATCCCACATTCATCACACAGGTGATGTGGCATTTCACATCAACAATTTACACAATGCCCACACTGTTCTCAACACTTCGAGGTGAAATTTCAGCTGAAGCCTGAAAGCAGAGTGTGTGTTTGTGAGGTCGCAGTTTAACACCCTACCTTCAAGGAAAAGCATTACTCTGGCATTACCTGAGGAGGTTAGACATCTTACCAGTGTGACAATTGCACACTCAGCAGTGAGCTGAGCAGCACTGAACAACGTCCTGACGAACCGGTAGATCTGCTTTTGCTCTGGGTCGCGTTTGTCATAGTCCAGAGGGACTTGAGATTTCTGGAAGGAGGGGGGGCAGATAGGCGGAAGGAAAATGTTTAGAGATCAGGAAGGAGGGGAGGAAACAGGCGAGGGAGAATGTAAATGAGGAACGGTGAATTTGGGAAAAGTTGGAAACAGAGAAGGGATAAAAGAAGACACATGAAACAAAGTAGGGAATGAAACAATGGTAGGTGAGGAGAGACAGAGGGTGTAACAGAGGGAAGGAAACAAAAAAAAAAGGGTAAGAGGAAAGAAATGAAGATTAACATAGGAACGAGAAACTCTGGTTTCAACATGTAAATTCACAGTTTAACAGTCTACAAAAAACTAATGGGATGTAACACTTAGTGCTAATAAATACAAACACACATACAAAACATTTGCAAAACAGACCAAATTGTGAAAAAGAACATAAATGGAATCAGAACTCTTACAGAGAGAGGGTGAAGCTTCTCATCAAATATATCTAACAGCATTCCTCCATCTCTGTCCCTAGAATGAGACAAAGCTGTTGATGGTTGATTTTACTTTATCATTAAAATCTCTACACTTATTGCTTCCAGAGATTAAGCAGAGTCACTGCGGTAGCAAAAATGAAAAGTGTAAAATCCACTAGAGCTCACAGATACAGGGGAAACATACACATGATATGATGTGAAAATATATTTTTATTGAAGAAAGGTCATTTATGGCTACATGGTGGCTAAAAATTCTGAGTCAGTGTCTCACTCAATCCAATTTTTAATATAATAAACTCTGATTCACTGGCCCTTTGGCCCAAACCTATGATCCCTCTGTGCATAAATTAAAAGACACACTCTCACAAAACAACATGCAGAATACACAGTAGTGTACTGGTGTCTGACATTCTGGGATTTCCAGAAGATCCCTCGGTGTCAGGCGCCCAGATATTCACTTTATGTACTGAAAATGAGAATGAGAGTCCTCACCTGTTTTTTATATGGTAGTAAATCGCCAGTGCTACACTGTAAATCAAAAAGTAATCACTGGTTAGATGAATAACATCTTAATAATGAGTCTGTAGAAAATAACTCATTCATCTTCCTTCATGGCAGATTTCTTTACCATTTGATGGTGTATTTGAGGTTGGGCTGGCTGACTGTGTTGTCATCGAGGAAGATGGTAGAGCAGGAGCTGTACTTCCGCCTCAGCGTTCTATGCTACACGCACACAGTGACTGTTATTGGAGTGTTTTTGTCTGACCCACAGAGAATTAGATTCAGCGACATTAGAAGGTGACGGCTTAGTTTAGCAGCTGCTGCATTTGTACACAGCATTCAGGCCATTCAAAACAACACAAAGGTGAACTCATTTGACAGTAATCAATAAATCACAGGCAGATTTTAGGTTCAAGGGCCAAGTCAGAGAAGATGTAATAAGATGAAGAAATAATGTCTTAGACTCGTGGAGAGAGACTGAAACAATAGCTCACTCACATTATTGATGAAGAGGCTCTTTCGTTTTTCTCGCACTGTGAAAAGAAAGAGGCATGTCAGTGAATTTCATTTCCTCTGCACTGACAGCAGCAACAAGATAAATATAAAACCTAGCAGTTTTCAACCAGGAACACACGTCGTTATCATGAAAAGCAAGACATGCTTTACAATGTTAACTGCAACTCAAAAAGTTTTTGCTATAACTGCAGAGAAGCGGCAGCTAATGAAAGAGCTGGAGGGCAGAGGTGACCACCAGTAGACATGATCCACCACTAGAGGGAGCCAAGGTGTCACCCAGGACTCCACTCGGTGTTCTTGTAAGGCACCTCTGAAAAGAGAGGAACCAAAAACCTTATCCTGTTTCAGTCGCTGGTTGCTGACAACAGCAAAATGTGTTTGAAGATATGCTGTACTTCAGTAGTTATCAATCACATATGCTACTAAAAACTTTGGAAACTAATTCATTAAGGAATCTGGGTGGTGTTATAAAATCTTTGTTATTATCTACAAAATACAACAAAAAGACAAATAAAACAACATATAAACTTTATTTATTCATATTTGGTTTCCTTTTTTTTCCAAGAAATGCAACTCAAAGTGGTTTACATTATGAGAGGTCATGCAGTGGCTCAAAGGCATACATCGGGCTCTGACAACGCAGAAAATATTTGCTGGTAGGATTCATTTACTGCTGGTTTGGTCTCTTCAGGGGATTTGTAACATCAGCATTATCCTCCGAAGCTGGGAGGAAGACCATCACCAACATGTGGCTTTTCCCCAAGACAAGACCAAATGAGAAGCAATGATACTCACAAAAGCAAAAACAAATACTCATTCACTTATCAGTCACATGTCACACATTATTTGATTCCTTATTTGTTTGTTTAGAGCGGGCCCAATATTTATCACACAAACAAATCCTTTGGACAGATGTGCAAAAGTCAAACTGTTTGAATACACTGGTGTGATATAACGTCTAAAATCCAATGTGTAATATGATAAAGACCAGATTTAACAGGAAAAGACATTTATTGCTGTAGAAGCTTTGCAGCATCGCCAGCATTGTTTTGCTGTTTGTTCCGCAGGCCTCTAAGAATAACACCGGTCTCATGCTGCGATGTTAATATTTCCTGTGTCACAGCCTGCCCGACTGAGCGCTGAGATCAGACCTCCTATTTACATTCTTTTTACAATGGAAAAATACTTTTATCTTTATTTCCACTGGGGAATTTTGTGTAATACGTGGTGAGTGTAGCATATAAAACTGGCAAATGTCTCTTACTCAGACAATGTATAAAAAAACCCCTGAAATATCAATCACATCCTGAAACAAAGCCTCTCACCGTCAGTCTGTGATTTGCTGAGGAATAAAGTGCTGGCTCGTGGATGGTCTGATGGATTGTACTCCATGTTCAGCTCTGTCAAAACACAAAGAGTATGTGTTACTTTGTGAAATGCAGTGGTGTAAGAGGCACTCAGATCCCTTACTTGAGTAAAAGTAGGAACAGAGTAGTGTAAAAATACTCTGTTACAAGTCAAAGTTCTGCATTAAGTAAATGTACACAAGTATCAGCATCAAAACATAAAGCACTAAAGAAAAATGTCACATTTAACGTCAATGTATACCATATTATTGGAAATTGTATTGTGTACATTACATTTCATGCTGCAGCTGGTAAAGGTGGAGCTAATTTTAACTGCCTTATATATTTATAATTTGAATTACTGCTGGATAGCTTCTGAATTTTCCAGATATCAATAAAGTCTTATGATTATACAGCATTTTGTTTGTATTAATATGGTTCTGAAACACAGCTAGTAACTAAAGTTATAGAATAAATGTCGTGGAGCAAAAGGAACAATATTTGTCTCTAAAAGTTGCCTGTGATGGCGACGTGTATGCACGCAGCGGCCTGGGGCCCCTCGGTTCCAAACAAAATTTCATTGTACGTGTCACAATGTTACAATGACAATAAAATAAAGCTTCTTCTTCTTCTTTCTTCTAAAATGTAGTGAACTCAAAGTATGCAGTGGCACAAAATGAACATATTCCAGTACAGATACCTAAAAAAAAACCATGTAAACTTGCCACAACTTGGTTTTTGACATTAGTGGGAATGCTGTGAGAAGTTAAAGGCCAGTTTAGCCAAGTATACTGAAGCCTTGTATACACAGTACTTTTGGTGGGAAAGCGGTATAAGACACATCACGGCTGTTGACAACTTGAATGTCCCTTCAGGGCAGTAAATCTGTGGCTGCCCGACATTACACCAAGTGACCGCATTCTAGACCCTCGACTGCACATTTCCTAACCTTCAAGAGTTCAAAACTGACTCTCTGGTTCAGAAGTTATTTAGAATCTGTCATAAAGAGAGAAGACAAGAGGTCTTCCTCAGGTCACAATGTGACGACAGAATGAGAATTCTTGACATTTTGAACGAGTTCATATAAAAAACTGACCTTTGCTCAGTAAAACAAAAATGACTGAGGGTCACACGCTCTCTGTGTAAATACATATTTTTGTTGTCTTCAGTCTCATGGTTTTACTGCACAGTGGTTCCCTGTGTTTCTCTGTGTGGCTTTGAGCTGTTTTCTGTTCCTCAGCACTCAAACACACATCTAGTCAAGATCCCGCTGCCAACCACAGCTCATCCAGACTCATGGCCTGAAGGCATGAATCTGTATGAGACTCTTATAAAACACTCTCATAATGTGCCTTCATTATACATGCCAAAATGCTTAGTTGCTTTGTTTTCTGGTAGATGTCAACCGCTTTATTGATGAGACAGACAACCGCGGTTAATGTGAACTGAAAAGGCTCCTTCAACGAAAGGCCATAAAATAAAACATGCTCCCAAGTAAAAACACTGACTTAAATGACAGATGAGTCTTAGTGAACTTTGTAGAGCTCTACATCAACTTGCAAAGCAGCTGCTTTTGGTGAAATCAGCATTAAAAAAAATGCCTGGCACGCAGTCTGCACTGCCAAAACATTCAGACTCCTACAACACGACTGTAAGAGATGAAAAGCTTCTGACCACAAGATGAGGGGTCGCGTTCCTCTTTCTGAAAGAGGAACGCGACCCCTCATCTGTGTCTCTGACTGCTGTAGTATCACTGCTGTTTGCTAACCGAAGTGTGCGAACCAGACAAATGTAGGTGGCTTCTTTTTCTACCCAGCGCACCGCCCTGCAGGCTCTGCTGGGTTGACTCTTCCCAGCATTCAAAGCAACATGTTTTATGACTCTTAGGGACTGTGTTTTCAAAACGGCTTGCTTTCAATCTAACAAACTAATCAACTAAACTTTTAGTGAGTCTTCTAACTTCCTGCACAGTCTGGCTTGTACAGATTTTGCGCAACAGCAGAAACGTGTTTCATGGATAAAATTATTCTTCCCATCATTCCTTGCTACTGTGGTCATGTGACACAATGCTGTTAACACACTGCAAAGAGTGTTTCTCCTTTTCTCTACTGCACAAACTGCTGTATAAACAATAACCTCCTTCCTCTTGGGAGGAAGCCATCTGTGTAGATAACCCATTTGTTTCTAATGCCGTGCTCAAACAAACACACACTTTCCCATTACTCTGGAATCATTTCTGTCAGGTGTCATTGATGTGTCCAATATGTGACACGTGTCAGACGAGTCTGCCAGTCACACGCAGCTGACTTGGCTTTTCACTTCACTCATGCAGCTTAGGTTGACTGGCGACTCTGAATTGCCCCCTAGGAGTGAGTGTGAGTGTGTGTGGTTGTTTCTCCACGTGTCAACCCTGTGAGAGACTGGTGACCTGTCCAGGGTGGACCCCGCCTCTCGCTCAATGTCAGCTGTGGCTTGCTCCAGCCCCCTGTGACCCTCCTCAGGATAAACGGTATAGATAATGGATGGATGCTCAATTCTCTTATCAGAGCTGCCAGTGTCATATCAATATACAAATCCATGATGTATGGAAAGGATGTCCCTTAACAGCCTTAACAGAAAAGCTGCTCTAAACGACCTGCCTTTTTTCACATGGTCCAAGTGTTTTTGATTAACTTGGCTGATTCAAGCATTTCTGAATCAATCAGACTGAACCTGACCAGAATCCTCAGAGCCTGCAGCAGTTTGTGTTGAGTGCTGACACATGATATTCACCACCACAAGTAAACGTTAAAGACGACTCGCGTTCGGCATCTGCACAGTGAAACAGGAGAAGCTCAGCTAACCTATCTGCTGTACTGCTCCTGCATAATGAATTAACGACAGGTTCACCCCAATCTATAACTGCCTTGTAGTGCTTACAGCAATGTAGTTACTTGGTTTGTTCTAAATATTCCTGTGAAACAGTTTTAATTTGTCACATGTACCAAAACAAAGCCAGCCTGAGAAGTCCCCCCAAACCATTTATTTACTGTAGATGCATGTTTTGCCCAAGCACACTATGGTAGGAGAGATATACAGGACTGTTGATGGACAAGTGTTCAATTCTGCAGCACCCTATGTGCTTTGGAGTCTGTGTTTGCTTCCTTTAAGCATCTTGCTGTATCAGAGTGTCAGAGTCAGCAGCAGCTATATTCTTAAATGTGGCCGTCTCAGCAACACTGCGCTGCTGTTAGGTAGCGCAATCTGACTGAGTGTGAGGATAAATCAGTCTTTTCACTTGTCTGACATAGGTCTGACAAGCAATTGTCCTTCGGGGTTTTGTTAATATCCCAGCTTATGAAGTAGACACTTAAACTGTATAGAATGCTAATGGGTGCACTAGTTTCTTCTATAGCCCAGAGGGTCCGATGGAACTGAGCCCTACAAGCCCCAAAGAAATGTCTCATTTCACCCAGACAAGACTAAATCTGTCAATTCAAAATGCTTTAAATGTCACCACTGAATCTGCCTTTTTAAGCTTATTGTTTTGCACATTTGAGTCTCACATCTCATCAACTCCCCCTGTATAGAAAGGAAAGCAAGCTCAGATGAGCAGAAGCTACGTGTTGGCACCAAAATAGCAGAGTTAGAGAGAACAGCTATTGTAGCTGGTGAAGAAACTGGTCTGTGTAACAGCTAATGAGCCAGATTTTCTTCTCAGGAAACTCTAACAAAGTTACAAGGGCAGTGATCTTATCTCGCACTCATTAGGTGGACAGAAACACAAAGTGCTCTGTGTGCTGGATGTTAGCAAGCACATTAGCCATGTTACTGCCAGTCTTGCTTGTTTCCTCTACTTGTGTTGCACCTTTATTGTAGAACGTTAACCCAGTTGTCTTGCTTGACTAACATTCTAGGTAAGGTCATTATCATAGTCACAAATTAATCCATGAATCATTGCTGCAGCTGTCTTTTTAAATGAAAAATGTAGCTGAGGTTCTTAATCTTTACCTACTGGGCCTCGGGAGCAGCTCAGCCTTTGAAAACAGTTTGACGTACATCTATGATTTGCATCCAAAGGAATGTTATCCTGGTGTTATTGTTGAAGTCTGGGCTGGGATGAAACCTGACCCGCTCCCGTGCAGTCACTGAACATGCTCACTGTTCAGTCATGCATGTTCATCTCTGCTGGGTTCATCTTAGAGGAGAACTTGGATTATTTTGTGTGTATTTAAAAAGGGCCTGAACCATATTTAAATCACAGTATGGGTGATTTTCACCGTGTCACAATTGCAGTACAATTATGAACAACAACTGGACGTTGGGTTAGGTGTTAGGGTTAGGTGTCACCAGCTGTTACTATAGGCCTACAGGCAGCTTAAACACTGAAAGGTGAAATCAGAATTTATTTTGCTCAGTAAGCAAAAGAAGTCAGTTTAAAACACAAGGCTGAGCTGCTGGTGTTCAACATCTGTTCCATCTTCTTCATCATGTCACTCATCCAACAAAAGGGATACTCTACTAACCTGCCTTATACTGTTCAACACACACACACACGTCAGATGAAGTATGCTGAGCTGTGTTGGTGCTGGTTTTGGTTTTGATTGGTTGTTTAATCAGTAGGAACACTCTCATGGAAGAGCTTACTAATGTACCGCCTGGACAGCTCGAAGCCAATGTGCTGCTTTGAAGAGATAATTAGTGAGATGAGATGAGGTGGTTGTAGCGTGGACTGTGGAGTGGATTCGTCTCATTACTAGTCAGTATATTAAACACACCAACACAGGAAATGAAAGGAACATGTTTATTTTCTGTTCTCCAGCTGGTTTCTAAATTTCCAGCTCTAACATTTAATAGAGTTGTTTCATTCTTACACGTTGAGCGGAGCAAGTGGTCCATCCCTGTTCAGACACACGACTGCCGCTGCTGAACAACATCTTAGTTTATCCGACAGTGGACCAAACTTTCAAATTTATATCACAGCTGAGAAACCACACTGTTCGAAACAACGGTGTGATAGGACTTTTTTTTAGTTAAGACCAAACACCTCAGGAGAAAACATGTTTGTCCTCTGC